CATGGGTACAACAGTTATGAACACATAAACCATACTCATGACAAAATAGGCCAAAAAGCAAAATGCATAAATGCATATCACTAGGGCTGATAATTGTGTGCACTCAACTTTATAACTGCGGTCATCTGAAATATCATGAGGTTCTGCAATTATACAGAGAGTAGGAAAAAAAAATAATTAAAAACAAAACAAAACAAAAAAGAAATACCATGAGATCGATCAAAAACTGCAGTTGGTCACCACCATACACGCAGTTGCCCAAAGAGCTGAGATTTCAAGAAATTTTATCTTTAACAAATGCAGATGTACAAAAAGGACATCTCTTCATTTATTGAGGAAATTTCAACATTTTTACCTATATGCACAATGCTTACACACAAAGTCAATGTTGTGACAATACACGTTCATGGAGTCAAATTTCTGATGCCCAAGGCAGGAGAAGAAAAGCCTGTCTCAGCTCTCAGAGAAAGACCAATTCTATTTCTGTATTTGCTCTCTCCCGGCTCTTGGCAACTGAGAGCAGATCTTCCCCACCTCATCCACTCAGACTCACATACTAATCTTCTCTGGAAACACCTTCAAAAATAGACCCCGAATAATGCTTTATTAGGTATTTTTTAATCCAGTCAAGTCGACACCTAAAATTAAGTACACAAATCCACTCCTTGTCAACTAGGCACCCATATACATCTCCTTAAACCATATTAAATTTTCAAATAAAGATAATAACAAGGTAGTAGTTCTGTAGAACATGATGCAACTAATATGACGTAACTATCCTATATACAACCAAAACGCACTGATCCTTTCCCTAGAATTTGGCTTTTAGGATTTCAGTGTTGGGGATTTTAATCTTTCAGAACTGTGATTTTTAGGATTTTAGACCTTAGGGATTTAGACTTCAGGGATTTTGATCTTTCAGGATTTCAACATCGACATTATGGTTTTCTGGATTGTGGCTTTCAGAATTATGACCAGCACCACATTATCACATATATTACCTTTGGAATGAGTCCACAGATGATTAATTTGAGGATGTTAATTTTAGAAACTAACATTAACAGTAACTTTGGAATATTTAAGTAATAGCAAAACACATTCTTTTTAAGCCAAAATATATTTAAAAAATAAAAATCAGATGTAAAATAATTTTAAGTCAAAGTATTTATATTGAAGTAATCATGAATAACTCTTATTCTACCAAGAAATAAACTAATTAGGCAGGCACTGACTTGAAAATCTGCATACTGCCCGCTAGATCAACCATTTTCTAAGATTATTAATACTTACCTTTGCATATGTTGTGTTGTCTGCAAACTGGGATAATATAACTTGTGGGCTTTTTAAGTCAATACTTGCCATTCCTATTTCACCTCTGGCAAGTCCTCTCCCTTCTACAACAGCTACAATAACTGATGGGGAGTGTATAGAAACTGCAGATGAGGATGTAGCTGTTAATTTTTAAATAAAGAAAATATACAAACATTAATAATAATCATTTCTAATTCTGTCACATAAGATCTTAAAGCACCTAATCTAGGACATGACTACTGTATTAATACCCAAGAAAATAACCTTTTTTCCCTCAGAAAAAAGTAATTTTTCATTACTCAGATCAAATAAATATGCTAATTCTCAAAGTATTTTGCCAAAACTTAACTTCACATTTAGAAATAACAAATTTGTACATTGCCTTATTTTGTACTTTATTGGATGGAATCATAAAAAGAAGACTAAACGTGGGATCAAAAAAACTTAGATTATTTACCTTACTCTGTCATTTAAAAGATATTTGAATTTGGATAAATTATTTCATAATAAATAATTACGAATTATAAAATATTAAATAATTGGGTCAAATAACTTTTCCAAATATAAAGATTAGGAGTAAACTACCTCTACCTCAGGGGTCCCCAACCTATGGTGAGTTGTATAATTATTTCATTATATACCACAATGTAATAATAATAAAAATAAAGTGCACAATAAATGTAATGCACATGAATCATTCCAAAACCATGCCTGGTCCGTGGAAAAATTGTCTTCCATAAAAAGGATCCCAGGTGCCAAAAATTTTGGGGACCACTGCTCTACCTGATAGATCATATTATATAAACTCCCATGACAATAGGCCAGTGGCCAAATTAATGATGAGCAATATAAAATGAAGGCAAAATAAGAAGGGAAGGCAAGAAGTTAAGAGACTAAATTGGCTGGTGCAGTGGCTCATGCCTATAATCCCAGCATTTTGGGAGGCTGAGATAGGAGGATCGCTTGAGGCCAGGAGTTCGAGACCAGCCTGGGCAACATAGCGAGACATTGTGCCTACAAAAAAACAGAAAACAAAAAATTAGACAGGCCTGGTGGTGTGCGCCTGTAGCCCCAGCTACTCAGGAGGCTGAAGCAGGAGGATTGCTTGAGCCCAGGAGTTCAAGGCTGCAGTGAGCTATGACCACACCATTGTACTCCAGCCTGGGGTAACAGAGCGAAACTCTGTCTCAAAAAAAAGAAAAGACAATTATGGCTGACCTAAGATACCAGTTTCCCTAATGCTGAAAAACTAAAATTAAAATACAATTCAGTGAAAACAGCTCTCTGGAAATTGCATTATCACAGGTTTGGGCCATAACCCAGACACAATCCTGAACACCATAATCATAAATGTTGAAATCTTAAAAGAGCAAAATTCCTAAAGTCTAAAAATCTCAAAAATCACAATCCCAAAAGATCAAAATCACAAAAATATAACTCGGGAAGAAATAACTTAGAAATGTTTAAAGACCTTAATTTACATTTGTAAAAGGTGATTTTTTTTTTTTTT